GTGACACAAAGAATGCTGGGAGTTTGAGTTTGTGCTAGAAAAAGATTTAAAGGAGCAGACCTGTGGTTGTGCATGTTTAACCTTCAGGTGTATTTTACATCCCTGCAGGATGTTTTCATCCATCCAGCTCTATTTATGCTTCAGCTCCTGAGGAAATTCAATTCAATTCAATTCAATTCAATTTTATTTATATAGCGCCAAATCACAACAAAAGTCGCCTCAAGGCAACAAACATCTGTTATCTTTTGTTCATCATGGGCATAGCTGAAAAAACAAAACTGTGACCTAAAGCGAGATAAATGCTGCACAAACCTGCAGGGGTGCAGAATCACAGAGTTATTACCTTTGTATCTGCTTGTAAACACGAGGTTTCAGCCAGATTCAGAAATCAATAAACGTCTAAACCAATAGTCAGAGTTTTGAGACACCAGTGGACTTCAGATGTTAACATCAGATCTGAGGACAGAATAAAGACTTGGTGACAAATAATTTGAAGCAAGCATCCTGTTAACATGCAGAACCACAGAAATGATCCTTATATTAAAAAAAATCCCTTTAACATTATTTAAAGGTTTGTTGTGTAGTGCTTTTCTTTTTTGGCTCCACTCTTCATGTTCAGTCATTTATGTGTCTTTTGAAAAAAGACAGTTTCTGTTTCAATGAGGCTGAAACTGATTATAAAGGTGTTTCTGACTTTGACTGCTTCAGATTTACTGTAGAGACACTGATGTAGAAGGATCAATTCAATCTGGCCCTCAAATGTTTGTGCGACACTTTTAAATCTGACAATAAAGCGAATTTATTCATTTATTTGCTTCTTTGCTCATTTTCTGGTTTAAAGTTCTGAATGACTGAAATGTGGGCGGGGCCAGAGCCGACGACTGGATCCAGCTGGACGCCTGTTGTGTTACTGAGTCTTTATCTTACAATATAAAGTGCCGCGAGGCAACTGTTGCTGTGATTTGGTACGATAAATAATAAAACTAAATTGAATGAAATGTTAAATTACGGAGCCCCGCAGGGGACATGGGAGAAAAAAAATTAAGACGGACTTTTGCGAGATCTCGCAAAAGTCCGTCTTAATTTTTTTTTCTCCAAATAAATGAAGGATGTGGGAAAATATGGATTCAGTCTCGGTTCTTCTCACAACTGTACAATAAATATTAAACCTGTTTATTTGTTAGTGTATTTAATCAATGTGTATTTACCTTCATATTAATTTAGCTCAATTATTCAGCTTTTGGACTTTTACTTCCTGATTCTTATGTGTGACTAATGTGGCCTTCTTTAAAAAAGTGCTTTAATATTTTTATTCTGCAGTTTCATCATCATCATCGTCTATATAGCGCTTTAAAAACACACAAGGCTGACCAAAGTGCTGAACAATAGAAACATAATAGATACCATAAGAATAATAAATACGATAAAATAATAAACATAGCGAAAACAATAAAATATAAGTAAATATAAGTCAGTCAACCACTGAGTCAAAAGCCAGTGAATAAAAATGTGTTTTCAATCTGGATTTAAAAACCAGCCCTGATGTGAAGATTCAGTTTAATATGAATTGACCCTGTGCACGAGAAAATGCTAACTTCCTGGTTTGAGACCGGATGTGGGGTTGTACATTTCAGGTAGCTTTACTTTGCGGTCAATCGCTACTGCGAAAATCTCCTCCAAAATCATGTCCAAAACTGGAAAACGGAAAGATGGCGTTAAGTTACAAAGAGCAGAAGGTGGGAACACTCACCACTGTTGTGTCATAAAAAATCTAATGATCAATTTTGACGTTTAAAGAGTTTAGATCGATCGGTTGTTTACATCACTCAACACAAGCAGAACTGCAGCACTGCAGCAGAAGACACATCGTCCACATTCAGAAGCACATCTCTGTACAGTGACAGGTCTCATGATTTAAACAGGCAAATGTTCAGCATTCAAACTACAGGTGAACAATAGTCAAACCAGATGTTTCCCGTTATGTCGAGATCAGCTAGTCAAGTACACACCTACACAGCATGTTAACAAACCGTGAAAAAAGCCACACAAAAAATGAACGATTGCTGGTAACAGTTTCTATACATTAGTATTTACGAAGGGTATGTTGTGACTTACCTTCAAAATTACAGCGGTCCCTCGCTATAACGCGGTTCACTTTTCACCTCGCTGCTAGCAGTGTGATTCTGAAGTGTCCACGAAACGTTTCGCACCGTCAAAAAATAAAATTGGCTACTTGATTTCACCTATCGCTGGTTATTTTTAGAACATAACACCCGCGATAAACGAGGGACAGCTGAGAAATATAACATTTGAATCCATTTTCTCTTTTGCGCTGAGGCGCGGGGAAAAATATTGACAAGTCGATGAACATCATTTACAGATATATTGGGTAAATGCCCGAGACATCTATAGAAATGTAAATCGCCGCTTCATTCATTCACTTGCTTAACTTGTTTAGGACCGTAAACAGGGCGCGAATAGGACACCGGAAACAAAGCTCCCCACAGGAGTTTCCGCACCGGAAGTAGCATATGCTAACATGCACATAGTCTATTGTTTTTAAAGCCTTGGAGAAAGAGACTCTTTGTCTATTGTGTCGTTCTCCAAGCCCCTCGATTCCTGCTGAAGACATGTCTTTGCAGATTCATGTTCTAACAACAAATCCTGGTCATCAAATTGAACTAGTGCAGGATTAATTATTACACAATAAAACTCAACGTGGACGTTTCACACCCAGGCTGCTTACACAGGCTCCAAATTAACATTAAAATATTATCAGTGATTTCCTTCCAGCTCAGACTCTTCATCAGCAGATCTACATCAGCTCACACTGTGCACTGGACTCTTAACAGCATTCAAAACAAAATGTTTGTTATTGTGTGAGATGAGTGTGAGTGTCATGAAATGCACAGCTAAACAAAATGTTGTATTCTTTTTTTAACAATCCATATTTAACAATCACCTTAAGTGAAAAATTATCATTTTTTATTAGCAGATGAATTAGCAGCAAGTGCTGAATCAGAATAAACTGCAGTGTGTTAAAGTTTAGAGCAGCCGGGCTCAATGTCTGGTTTTGCTCTGCACACGAGATTCATTGGCAAGAATGATCTTCAAATAACTCAAACACAAAGTTTAGGTGAAAGTTTTTAATTTCAAACAAAACCCACGATGCACAGATCGCAACAACCCGAAGCACAAACAGGCGACACGGTGTGGTCGCTGAAAACACCTCAGAGAAGGTGAACGATGCTTCAACCTGTTACACATGCAACACGCTCTGTTTACTGTCTGGATCCAAACACACGTCCAACATCACCTGATGGTAGCTTCATTGTACAACCATATATTCGCTTTGTTTTAAATCATATAATAAAAAAATAAAACCTTAAAAATAGCGAGAAAAGCCTTTAATCAGTTATCCTACATTCAAAATTAGATTTTCTTCAAAATTAAGAAAACATTAAGAAAATAATGGCACTTGTTCTCACTCTTTATATCTTTTAAAATATTTATGTGTACTGTGGAGATTGTGATTCTTTTACTCGATGAACCTGAAGAGAATTTCACTGATTTTGTGGAGAATTTGCTGGCACGTGTCTCGTTGCCTTCAGCCTTCTTCATTTCTCAATGCTTCGTTTGCGTCACAGCCGTGTTCCCGCTCCTTCACCGTAAACTTTTTAAACCTCCGTCTCAACAGACCTGTGGTGACGTTATTCCATCACCTGCAGCTGATTCACGTATTTACATTTTCTATCAACAATATTAAAACCTCTGCTGCTAAATGAGCTTTCTGATAAAAGGGCGCTCTAACAGTTGATTAGTGCATGATCAGATGCTGGCATACAAGCCGAGATGCATTTTCATATGAGTGTTGAATCATAGCCACATTTAAAAGAAGGGTATTTTTCCAATTCTGTGTCAGCTGTCAGCAGTCACTGGGTGTGACGCAGGATACTTCCTGGACAGGCCTCCAATCTGTCCCAGGGAATACATCCTGTCTTTAAACTGTTGCAAGAGGACAGATAACTGAGCAGTTCGTCAAAGCCAGTAAGCACAAATCATTCAAATAGTGATTGAAGATATTTTAGTTGGAACCAGTACTTGAAGCCACTAGCATTACCAGTAAAACAGGACTTGATTTTAGGGGGAGTTTATTTTTGTCTCATCTAAGTGTGACATAAGAGACGAGAGATGTTTGCAGTGAAGAGAATGTTTGTTAGACATGTGACTTCCAGGTTTTTAAATTAGTATTCTGCAACATTGTAACGCTTTTTTATTTCATTTTCCAGTTTTTATTGTCCCAGGAACAGTTGGAATTTCATTTAGACAACGTTTGACAATAATTGCCTGAATATGCTAACATGCTAAGAGTTAAACAAATACTTCAAGAAGGATTTTGTGTCTTTATTGTTTGGGTTTGTTTGCTGGCCTTTCCTTTTATGTGATGCCAGCTTCAACAACCAAACAGAATCAGATTTAACCCAAGAAATAAAACCTGATTTCTTTTAATTGAGTAGTAACTACAGTGTGGTACAATGGTCCTACAGTAGAACTTGTATTCAGCATAACTCTGGTAGAAAAACCTATTTTAACAATTGTCATTGCTTCATTGCTAGAATACCCCTCCTTTAAAAAGTGCAGTTATAAAATCACTGAGAAGTTGATTGGATGCTTGTTGTGCCTCATCTACAACTGTGCAACTGAAAAGAAACTAATTTGGTGGAGGGGTGTTACGGTGAATTTGGTGGAGGGGTGTTACGGTGAATTTGGTGGAGGGGTGGTAGGGTTGGGACCATCCCAGGAGTACTGTTCAGGATGTGGCGATGGTGGTGACTGTGGTGGGAAGTTTCTGCCCATAGGAAATTCGCAGGTGTCGGGGTGCAGCAGATACCCAGAGAACGTGCTAGTGCTTTCATTATCAGTGTACATGCCATTGGTGGTGGGGTCCTTCACCTGCAGCCAAACCTCGTCTCCCATGTCGAGGTGGAGGACCACCGTCTGGCTTGTGGTGGCTGGGACGGTTCCTTCTGTTACTTTAGCTACAGGGTAGTAATTGCGGAACAGGCCGACTTTAAGCGGTTTCACAGCAACTGACAGGTGAAAGGAGAAGACGTAGGTGCCGTTGACGGGGGCTGTGTAGATGCCGTTTCGGTTAAAGTGGTGTTGCTGGTTGGTAAGCATGTGTGGGAAAGGAATGGGAAAATTGTGAGCTGGAAATGACTCGTTGATACAGGCGGAGAATGCTGACTGGATGGCTGGAGAGCAGGGCCCAGGTGGCCCCATGAGACCCATATCACCCTGGTTGCCTTTTAACCCCATGGTGCCCTGTATACCCTGGGAACCAGTATTACCCTTGTCCCCTTTGTCTCCCTTTTGCCCTGGTTTGCCATCAGCACCATTTGTTCCATTTGTGCACTTGCACACCCCCTGCTCACCTCGATCACCCTTCTCACCATCGCTGCCAGGGTTTCCAGGCAAACCCATGTCACCCCTATCACCTTTTATGCCCTTGGGTCCATCAGAACCGTGCACTCCTGGCAGGCCACGGGCTCCAGCTGGTCCAGGTGGTCCTTGGGTACCAGGTGCACCTGGCACACTCTCGCAGGTGGCAGGGCATATACCAGATTCCCCCTGAGGACCCAAAGCACCAGGGGGTCCCACTGATCCTTGGTCCCCTTTGTCCCCTGGAAACAGCCACAGCATACATCACGAATACGATCAAGTTTAACACTTTATTTTACTGAACAATTTCCAACAGTATTTACTCAGAATCCCCACATTTCTCTCCATCTTCTGTATGTAGACTGATGAAGCTGGCCAGTTTGCCCAGAACCCATCTGGATCTTTCCAGGATACACTTTGGAATTACAATCTTCCACTCAAATCATGCCTGAACCCAAACCTTACCCACCCTGTACTAATGTTAAATCATTAAACCATCATAAAATTACATTCACACAAAGCACTGACAGGTATTATTTCCTGCTTTAACAATATCCAGGTATTACCAATCACGCTTTAAATAGGATGACCTCCATAATGCCATCTAGACCCACCTTTAAATCCTCGATCTCCCTTTGTGCCAGTGAAACCTGCTGCACCTTGCATTCCCTTTTCCCCCATTTCTCCCTTCTGGCCTGTAAACAGAGAAAACAAAGGAAACAAAAAATGGTGGTGAGGTGAAAAACCAACAATTCTGAATTTAAGCTTATTAGCTTTTTTGAAAGATACATTTAAAGATGACAACAGGTTAGAGTAACAAAGTTACAGGTTAGAGTAACAAAAAAGAAACAAAATGAGATTCAGTTCGTGGATTTTTAAGGTGGATTTCATTCAGTATCGATAGAAAAGTACGTGAGGAGAAGAAGCATAAATTCAATTCACAGGAAGTCAGTGTCTCATTTTCTTCCCCCTTAATTTCAGCATTGCTTTGTGTTGCAACTCGGTTTGATTAATTCAATGTGGAAAGTAAAAAAAACACTTTTATGTTAAAGACCCTGACGATTGTAAATGTGCTTCTTCACACACCCCTCTGGTGTGTAACTCACCTTTTATCCCCTGAGAGCCTGTAAACCCTCTGGGACCTGGAAACCCCGTCAATCCTCTTCTTCCAGCGCTCCCGGGAGGACCTGATCAAAAGTTAAAGACAGGTTACTTCCAATATAATCAGATTTGAATTTGAATTAAATCACTAAAGAGGAATCATCCTCCAAACCTTGCTGTCTGCCTTGCTTCAAACTTTAAATCCTTGACATTTGTTCAGACATTAATGATTTTCAAGTTTTACATTTTAATCGTTGTTAATCAGGTTACCTGGAAGACCTCGGTCTCCGCGGTCTCCTTTGGGTCCTACGGTTCCTTTGCAGTATTTACAGATGCAAAAAAATGGAATCTGGTCGGCGGGCGGGGGTACCGGTGCATTTAGCAGCATGTCACAGATTGTTGTGTCAGGCATGGGTGGAAAAGGTGGGGTACTGCCCCCCCACATCCTGGGCATGTTGGGACCTTCAGAGTTGTTGCCAAAGGGTGGAAATGGGAATCCTGTTGGAGGCATCATAAGAGGCCCTCTGCGTGCCTCGGGTGACAACGATGGGATTCCCTTCTCAAGAGTCTTATTAAGCTGGTTGTCAACTGATTCAGACCAGTAGGTGTTGGGATCATATGTGGAGCCTTCCTCTTCACTTCTGGTGATGTTTTGCACCCACATGGCTGAGCAAAGGCAGGACAAGACAAGCAGTCCGAGCAACCTCGTCAGCATCTGGAGAAGGAAGAAGATGAAGAAGAGCCCCGGAGGAAAGAAGTTAACTCAACTCCATCTGAATGTCTGTAACATTTGTCAAATGTCTTTTCTTTTTTGACTCCCCAGCTTGCATAAGATACTTGTTGAAATGATTATTGATGATAGTTACATGATACAGCAAAGGTGATACATGGGCAACTCTGCCCTGGAACATGCAAAAGGCCTCTGCACAAAGAAATCCACGTGTGTGTGATGCATTTGGTACTTAGAGGTCAGAAATGTAAAATGTGTTGTCAAACATCCTGAGAGTGTAAAGATGCTAAAACAGGACTGATGTGATCACATCTGTCGAGCTCTGTACTGTGTTCAGTAGTAAACAGGCCGTTAAAGTAATTCAGACCCGATGAGGTAAAAGTGCACAAAATAGTCTTGTTTTCAAAAAAATATTAAATAAGATTTGCTTCTGAAACTATTTAAACACGACTGCATTAGATTCGAGCTGCACTGTTCAAAATGCAAGAAATAAATATTCAAGAAATGGAAAACTCTTTGCAAAAGACTTGATAATGAAGGGAACCAGCTGATGACTAACAGTTTCACAACTGATGATTTCTGTTTTTAGATCAACTAAATAAAACGATGCTGTTGTAAAAAGGCAGCTATTAGGAGACGTCAACATTCCAGTGTTGGAGTGTTTAGGTACATGCATGTGTCATCAGCACAGAAAAGCTCAGAGACGCTGTGTCTGTGACATTTACACCCCGAGTGGAGACGAGGAGAGCATGAAATCAATCCCAGAGCTGGCCCCTGTGGCGCACCGCACAGA